CCCCATGCAACCAGAGTAAACGGATAGGCGGCGCCGATCTTCTCCAACGACGACATCAACGCATCATCCTCGAACCTTGACCACAACGCCGATCTCTTCGAGCCATGACAACAAATCCGCCCTTCGAGGACGAAGCACAAACAACAACAGCCGTCCTTCGATTAAAATCGAAGACGGAAAAATCGAAAAAGCGGCCGTCCTTCGAATAAACTCGAAGACGGAAAAAGACTCCAAGCGGCCGAATCCCTAGAGAGAAGCAGAGACTCGATAAAAAATTTATAAAACTTAAAAATACAGAATATTTATTTTAAATGCTAAATTATTTTTTATACATGTAATATTGGTGTCATATGAAAGATAATAAAAAAGGGGAAAATCGCACTTTTAGTCCATGAAACAGTCACAAAAATGAAATGTCGGACCCGTATTTCTGATATTGTAAATGTCACCCCTCAATTGTCCAAATTGTTGTAAATGTGGCCTTTTAAGGGGTGAAATGTACTCTCGCCCACATTGTATATTTTACCCCTCAAAGGACCACATTTACAGCATTGAGGACAATTGAGGGATGACATTTACAAACTTGAGAATACAGATCCGACATTTCATTTTCGTGATTATTTCAGAGATTAAAAATGTGATTTTTCCAATAAAAATTTATGAAATACTCCGTATGACATATTTTTTATAACAATCGGAGTACAAAGTACTTTTAACCATGCGTATAAGTTGGGGATAAGAGTGTATAAATGGGGATAAGAGATTGTATAAGAGTGTGTATAAATCATTCGGTTTATAGGGTTGGTTTGCAACTGCTTTTAAAAAAGCACTTCTCAACTTTTGGCTTTAAAAAAGAGCTTATTTTCCCAAACACTACAACTTTTACTAGTATCTCACCCGTGCGTTGCACGGGATGTAATACGTCATTCGGTGTAAGGTTTGGTCCCCCAAATTTCTTTTTTTACTTTCTCATGTATTTCAAGGAGGTATGCCTTCTCTCAAGAGGTTTTGCCCTAGTCTAGCTCTTCTTCTGTACTTGCATTATTTTTTAATAAAAACCAATAAATGTTCTTCGATATTTGCTCCACCTATTTTGGTGGTTTGCTGACAAAGTTAAAAAAAAGAACTTAATGAGAATAACAATTTGATTGTTCAACATTTAATGGAGTATTTGCAAAATATTAAAAAAACATGATTTTCAATTTTTGGTATAAAAAAAACTAAAATGAGTGTTTTTCAAGTGACAACTTCTGCTTAAATTAAATACTTAAAAGTTAAAAGCTGAAAGTAGATACAAGGGTGCTTTAACTTGATTTTCACCTTTTCTATTACACAAAAACACTTTATACAAAACATTACTAACTTTACTTTTTCTGAAACATATTTTTCTCAAACACTACCAACTTTTACTATTAAACGTTTTTCTTTGAAATAACTTTACCGTTTTTCTTTGAAATAACTTTACCGTATGTAAGAATAATGTAAAAACAGTGTCAAACACAACTTCCAAAAAGCGCCCATCTAAATAAAACAAATAACACTACTAAGACCGTGTGTAAGAATAACGTCATGTGTTTCTTAGCATAACTTTGTCCGAGAATTATAACCAGATAACCTCAACTTTGCCAGCTCCCAGCTTCAAACATGCCACTGTGCCACCATTGTGATATTCTACTTCCGCAATCTTCATATAGAAAAGGCATTGTAATTAGATCAAACATACTTAAGTGCCAAAAATCCAAGTAAAATATAAATCTTTTTTATAGGTTTCAGATATCACCTAAGCTTATCTTTTAAAGGGGGCAATCAAGATTATAAAAAAAAAGTAGAATAAACTTATACATGCTTCATAGAGTAGATATAAAAGCAACAAAAGCTGAGTAAAATGATAAGCTGTAACCATTTCTATGTTTAAACCAAACCAATTTGTTCTAAAACATTGGTAATTATGAGATGAGTGTATCTCTTATTTGTGCATCTTATAACAGGATTAAAGACCAACTCTTCAATGAGAGGGTTGGAACTTATATGCACATAAAACCAACAACATTGAACCAACTGTGAGATCATATACCATTAATCTGTTGGCAATATATCAGCACATATTTAAATAAACCGGAACTACTGTTTATGATTTATAAGAAAGATGGAATTCCTTAAGTAAGAACTATGTGCAGCCTTCTTCATTTTAGGAGCTCATCATGAGGTAATTCATTTTAGAAATGCATATGTGCTTGATCTAAGATCAAATATTCCAATGACCTAAAGCAGCTGAATCTCCAAATCACTACCCCTATATATTATTCACATCTAACAATTCTATTAAAGACATACTCCCTTTGTCCCTAACATACTCCCAGATGAGCTCCTAGGGCATTGACCTTGAGGGTGCTTCATGTCTGGAAAAGCTTAAAATGGTTGATTTTGTTAATTAAGTTGTAGACATAAAGTTTTCTTAACTATGTAGTCGGTTCTATACTTGATATTTTTACTCTATCTATATTATAATATAAAAAACAAATTGAGATTAGACAAAAAAAATCCAACTTAAACAAAAAAATGTGTAACCAAGCGAGAATGTGAAAGCACTTCAGTTTCCTTATGTAATCTACCAACTGTTGATCTGTTAATACAACCATTAGCATACCAACATGACAGTTTTCTATGAAAATATAAAATCATAATTACATGTCAATAAAATATATGGGTATTCAGGGGATATCAAACAGCCATTAGCACACCAACATGAAAGCTTTCTTGCATGTGCAGAGTAAAATGTTTTTTCATTAGTTGTGGACAGTATATGTAACATCTTGTAGCAGTCTTCTAGGAGAGGTGATGGTATTGGTCTGCAAGTTCATCAAATACCACAGTCTGCATTACTATAGATTCCCAATCAAGCAAAAATAGATAATTATGATCAAATAGAAACTGAAAAATAATAACCAACCCCACCAACTCCTTATTGGAAACTTCTTGCCAAGTTAAAATTAAAGTATGAACATATTGAAGTAGACAAACAGCATTTGGTGTATGTTTGCACAGAGCATTGAATTTTAACAGTTAATAGCCTTTTAAAATTTGCGTTTCAACACATTCTTATTTTTCTACTGGAGCTTAAAAGACAAACTCACAACTTCTAAGTCTTAAGAGTAAAGAGTTCAGAAAATGAGAAATAAGACAAAGAAATTTAAAACATAAAAGAAGACTAAGAAGTAAAGCTTAGATGCTTAAAATAAGAAAACCTATAAGTTTAAAGAACACCATGTGAAACTTAATGAAGAGTACTAACCCAAGCATAGAAACTTAATATAAGAAAACCTTTATTCTGCAAAATTGATTTTTATAGGAAAAATGAGAAAACTTCTGTAGACTGACCCAATTTAGTCTTCTTTTTTGAAAATCTAAACATTTACCTTGTGTATACTAAACTTATTAGGACCCTTTTAGAGAAATCTTAGCTTGGACGCCTTTGAGGACTGTGGGCTGTGGCAATTGAGAAAATAAAAAATTAGTATATCTAATTTAGAAAATAAATAACTAAAGAAGTAAACATTTACCTTGTGTATTACTACGTATAAACTTCATTTTTTGATTCAGGCAACTAATTTTCTATTTTTCTTAGATGCAGCAGCAGCATATTACATGACTTTTTCAATGTGAATTTCAATTGCTTCTTCTAAGGGTGAAACTTTAGTTATATTAATATAAGTTTAAATGTAATAAAGAAACTTTACTTTAACTTCAATTAGTATGTGTAATCTGAAGTGAATAAACTGATAATATAGAAAATTGGGGACGTGTGTGATAAAGAAACATTTACTTTAACTTTAACTTAATTATACCTAAGGTCAATACTCAATATATAGTATCTAGGACAAAAAATTTGTAACTTGATTGAGGAATTTTAACAAACATCATCCTTACAAAAACTGCAATAATGCTCTAAGTGATATAACCCTAGCAAATTGGAAATCAGATCACATAAAAGATGGATTATACGTAGTATGATTTAGAAAAATATTTTAGTGGTAAAACCTTTAGGCGCTGAATGGCTTGACAAATATCCAGAGGCAGATGCTTTAGACTACGTCTATAGGGAATAATAGGCTAGCAACGAACTGGTTAGGGGGCAACACCTTTCATTTCATCCCAAGAACTACGATTTCGGCTAGATGATTATTTCCAGGCAAATTGCTAGAGGTAGATTCTTTTCGTCTGGATGATGAATTGCGGGAAACATGATTATATGACTCAAGGTAGATGATTTCCCAACATTTATAAGGAGCTTCTTGTGAATAAACTGATAATATAGAAAATTGAAATAAGAAAGAATCGAAATCCATGGATGATATGAATAAAAGGGGTTCGAGGAGTTTCAGAGAGATGATAAGAGAAGATGGTGTGCTCAAGCAAAGGGAAATAAAAGAAAAGTAAAGAAGCCGTAGATTGAGCAGTGAAATCGGACGGATGATAAGAGAACTTCGGGTGAGCTGGAACTTCTTTTATAGAATTGTAGTGCTATTAAGTAGAGGATTAAGTAGAGGATTTATAAGGAGCTTCTTGTGAATAAACTGATAATATAGAAAATTGAAATAAGAAAGAATCGAAATCCATGGATGATATGAATAAAAGGGGTTCGAGGAGTCAGAGAGATGATAAGAGAAGATGGTGTGCTCAAGCAAAGGGAAATAAAAGAAAAGTAAAGAAGCCGTAGATTGAGCAGTGAAATCTGACGGATGATAAGAGAACTTCTTTTATAGAATTGTAGTGCTATGTAGAGGATTGTAGTGCTATTAAGTAGAGGATTTTCTCGGCTTCCGCGTCAAAAGTGCTTTTACTTTTTCTATTACACAAAAAGCACTTATTTTACCAAACACTACCCACTTTTACTTTTCAAAATCATTTTTTTCTCAAACACTATCAACTTTTATTTAATCACTTTTCTCCATTTCATTTAAAAAAGAACTTTTTAAAAAAGAAGCTGTCGAAAAGAGATCCTTAAATCTTTAGATCATCTCGTGTTTACGCTACTCCTGCTATGTATTGCTTGTTCGCCCGTATAAGTTTTAAATTAGAATCTCAGTATCTCACCCGTCATCAGAAGATACTGGAAAATTAACTCGGCAAAATGTCAGCTCCCTCTGATTCCGTCTTTGCCCATGTTGTTCGTGCTCCTGAAGATCCAATCCTCGGGGTATGCATTTTTCCCAACAAATTTGCATTTAAAAAAATCTTGGATTAGATTTGTAAAAAAACACCTGGATTTGATGCAGATAAATGGTTGTCTTTTCTCTTGTGTTTTTTTATGATATGTGGATGATCGTTCTAATTTTATTCAAATAACACTTGAAAGATGATTTTTGTGATCTCTGGTTTATCTTTGTAATTTGGTTCGAATAACACTTGAAAAGATGCTTTCTTTGAAAAGGAGCTAAAACATCGCGAGTTGCGACTGATGCTTTAGGCTGTTTAATTGTATTTTAAGTGGGGATCTATACTTCTAAAAGGGTGCGGTTGATTTCGTGTTGTTGGCTTCTTTGTTTTGTTACAGGTATTGCAGTGATTCCTTAATCAATTTGGGAGCTTCTAAATTTTTCTGTTGATTTTTGTTTGATGTTAGGTCACTGTCGCTTACAACAATGATCCTAGCCCAGTCAAGTTGAATTTGGGCGTTGGCGCTTATCGTACAGAGGTCTGTCTTTACTACTTTGTGTTATGTCCTCTTGATTTACCATAGGAGAAAATACTTGAATGCGCTTCCACACTTTTACTTCCACTTGTACTGGAGTCTGGACGATCATGTCCACTATACGAATGACACTGCCTCCTTCACAATTTGATCTTTTGCTGCTACTCCACCATAATAGTATTGTAGAACCCCAAAAATCAAACATAATTTTTTTTATTTGAGATATTTTGTAAGAACCATATTGATCTTGAGAGTCCACAAATCTGACTACAAAGTACTAGCAAGAAATGTTAAGCACTAAATCGGACAAGTCAGGAACCATGAGAAAGATGGTCGCAGGAAAGTCAATGTAAAGCTGGGCATACATTGTAGTCGATTGATGAAGAAAACATGGTGAAGTGAGAGAAGCAAACTCAGTTATGTGCAAAACCCGGGTCACCGGCTGAGTGCCGAACAAAGCTGAAAAGATGATACCGGCCAAGACCAACCTGGCTATGTGTGGAAACATGGCTAAGTCTAAGGAACAACACTTCATCACTTGGTGAAGTCGTTTCTGGACTTGACCAGTGCACCCTTTTGAGGATCACACCGCATGCGCATGAACATGTCCTGATCAAAATATCTTTTTACAGTTTAAGAACGAGCACCAAGATGAAATAAAGGCATATACCTTATCAACAAGGGGTGAATTAATTAACTTGTAATTGTGAGAATTTGCAAAACTGGAAGAAAATTAATGTGGCCAGCAAGTGAGTTGAAATTGAACATCCTTCTTCAACGGGCACTTTCAAGTATCATGTACACCAGTATGGTTTGTGGGGAATGCTAGTCTTCACTAATACAGGAAGTCTTGGAGGAACTTAACAACTATTGAAAGAAGGTACATATCAAGGAGTGCCTTGGTTGTTGGAGAAAGTTACTATCGTCTCAAGGAATAACAAGGATATTGAAGAAGTATCCAAGGTTATCAAAAGATGTAGGAAGAGGGTGAGAGGAAATACAGGGCGGAGTAGCAGCAAAGTGATTGTCGAAATACTAGTGGAAGTCTTTTGACCTAGAGACTTACCCACCTTTGAACCATGTTAAATCTGTGTGTCTCTTTGTTTTGCCGCAGTTTGCATTAGTTTATCCGCGTACATACTAACTTATGATTTGATTGATTCTGTATACACATGGTTTTGATTTGGGGTTGCGGCCATTGCGATGGGGTGTGAAATGATTTTATGTTTGGACAAAATAAGAAAAAATTAATAATTATATGTACATAATATAAATATTCTATTAATAATGTTATACTTCCTCCGTTCTTTAAAAGTTGAAACATTGGGATTTTGTACTATTCACACACCTTACTTTGAGTATGATTTTCTACTAATATATATAATCAAGCTATTATGTATAAAATGTTATTAAATTTCTATTAATGTAAATTTCAAAAATAATAACTTTTTATAATGTTTACTAATACGTAATACGTAATTAAATATAATTACAGTCAAAGTTGTGTGTTGGCAAATGAAAGTCAAACTGTTGCAACTTTTAAAGAATGGGGGATAGTATATCACATTATAAGTATATTATTTTAAAAAATATTACATTTTCGTTATGAATAAGTAAGAAATAGAAATTGAACATTACTAAAAAATTACTATGAATAATTCTTTTAAGAACGTATAAGTAATCAACCAACAAAGAAATAAGAAGGTGATAATATTTAAAGTGAATGATTATTGCAAAGTGCAATTAAGAAAGGGTCAAGCGCAGGCTGCGCAGTGATGTCAATCCCGGATAGCGAAGCGGAGCGGCCAAGCCCGAAAGTGGTATAGTGGTATAGCAGATAGCGAGATGACCACTATTCGTACACCTTTTATGTAGAATGCGGAGTTTTATTTTGTGCATATGACATCCGAAAGAATAATAATTATTACTTACAGTCTCAAACTTCATCATATCCATAAATCCTAAAGTATTAATTAAGTGTCACAGGTGGCACTCTTCTTGTCTTTTAAATCTTTCAAACTATACCATTGCCGATTAAGGTCAGGATTATCTACTACAGGCTCCTGACATAGACATAGAAGAGCCGAAGCGTTGAAAGTATAAGAAGAAAAGTTTGAGACAAATGTTGTCGAAGATTGAGTCACCACAGTGCTCATTGAAGGACTAGAGAAGAAACAGCATTTTTTTCCTAAAGGCTAGGATGAGTTTATATACATAGAAGTAGGGGTGGGCAAACATGGTTAACCGTACTTTGGTTAACCAATAATTGGTTATCCAAGATTTCAGTTACTATATTTTCGGTAAGATTATCCGTACCATGACCTCGGTTAACCGCATATTGGCTAACTGATAGGAACCCCAAGAATCCAGAACAATAATTATACAGAAAGATTAACAATGAAACAATCTGAAAATCTTTATTGAAGAGGAAGATCGATTACAGAAAGAGAAAAGTAACAAGGCCGAAGCCTCCCAAAAGAGAAGAGAACGTGAGTCTCTAATCTTCCCAGTTCCCAGACCTAATGTCCAAAAAGCCTCCTTACTACCCCCCCTTCCCATCTATTTATACTAGAGACCCTTATTACTAATATTATTATTATTATTACTTCTAATATTATTCTAATAGGTAGGTCCCTATCAATACTCCCCCCAAACATCCACCTTGCCCTCAAGGTGGTCGGTAGGAGACAGCCCAGATCTTCTGCTTCTTCTTCTTCCTTGCGCCTCTTCCTTCCCAGTACTTGACTGGTTGATGGACTAGGGAATTTAGTACAGGATCTTTTAATATCACAGAACTTCCCACAGCAGAAAAATTTTGTAGTGAAGTTTCCTTCTGTTCAGTCTCTTCCCAGCACTCCATAACCAAAAGTATTCCTTCCCGACATGAAATTCTTGATATATAATGATCATTGCCCACTAGGACAAAGCAGTGTCCACTATCATGGTATGCCTTCTTATCACTCCCATCTTCTGAGTAATAAGGTGTAGCCTTTCCTTTACGAAAATAGGACCAAGAACTCAGGCCAAAAATCAAAGCGTTAGGATTCAGTTTCAAGACCATATAGGTAAAGGTGTCCACCAAGTCATCATTAGGAACTGTTGTTGACCCTAGTAGGTCCAGGTAGATGATCAGCGAGTAGCAACTCAAGTTCTCAGCGCTATATTCCAACACCCAGGTGGTTGACTGAATTTCAAGAGGAATCTCTCTCCCAATAATCAACATTATTAAAGAATCAAGAACATTCAATCTCTGTTGCTGATATTGGAAGATGGAAGAATCAGTATAAGGGCTGACAAAATTCCTGTAAATGCCATTTACAAGTACAAGGGACCTTAGGGAGGGGCTTACCACCACCACATAGGAATTTTCCACAATTGTTCTCTGGTGAGGTTTCATTTTCTTCCTTAGTCTTCAAACCTTCAATATACACAAATTTTTACATGCTTGCCTGAGGTATAAGTGTATAACACTTGCAATAATGGCAGAATTTGTGTTCATATCCTGGATATCCACTTTAATCTTCATGATGCCCATCAGTAAAACCATGCCATCCTCTGCACTTTTAGTACCCTCAACAACATTCCACCAAATTCTCTTTGCCACTGCATGTTCTGAAGGAAAATCTATTTTTACTTGATTAGTTGAAACAGAGATTCGAAAAACCCAAACTATCTTCAATTTTGCATAATCTTTGCTAATATGAAGCAACTCAGAAACCAAGCAACACTTTGTGGATGAGAATACAAGATCAGTTCTTTCACCAAGTACATCACCCATACTTCTTTGGTTCCATCCTTGCCTGTCATATGAAGTAAGTTCATTTTCTTTAAAAGAGTTCCACTCTTTGTTACTGTTATTCAAACTGGAAGGGTTATCACCAGTTAGGGAGTGAATAATTGTTTCAGCTTCAAGTCCCAGATTAACTGAAGATTCCTCATTGCTTTCCTCTTCGCCATCTGTGCGTGTATCTTCTGTGGACGTTTTCTGCTGATTAACTAACTCCCGCTGCGACTCTGGTGACTCAGATAGCAATTGCGTTGCGAACTGGGAACTTCACATATGGATTGCTTCTTAAGTAAACTGGTAGTAGCAATTGAAGCCTGCAAACTGAAGGATGATGTTGGTGATGACTTTTGCGAACTGTAGGAAGTTCTTGTTGATCTCGATGACTCCTGCCTTGCTGTCTACCCTGTCTTCTGCCGGTGTCTAGGTGGATAATCCTTAATCAAATCATCTTTCAGAACCTGCCGACTATCTTCTCTCTGTTGAAAATCCCACCATTGAAACCAGCCATTTGCGGCTTCCCCCATTGCCTTTGCTGCGACATCCACCTTAAATCTTTCTGCAATAGCTTGGACTTGAAAATATCGTTCCATTCTCTCTATCCAATCGTAAGCTTCATGCTCGTAGAATAGAGGCAATTCCTCTTTCTTTGAACTTGCTGACTTCCGAGAGACTGCTTTAGACGAAGAATGCGAACTGATGTTCGTTGAGGAAATCTGTGAACTCTGATGCGAAGAGCGATGATAAGAGTGATGCGATGAGGTATGCTCAGAGCGATGGGAACTGGGAAGAACGACGTGAAGAGCTATGTGACGAATTCTGCGAACTGCGATGCTCAACTGTCGATGAAGATGACGATTCTCCTCTCACTCGTGTCTCTCTTGTACATGAACTAGGAATCCTCCTTCGCGACTCAGTCTGCAACTTGGTGAACGACTGCGATGAATGATGACTAGGGCTCCTCGATCGATCATCCGATGTCTCTGAGTTAATCGAAGGTCGCGTATGTCGCTGATGATAGTGCGAAGTGTGATGCGATGCAGTAGAGTGATGTGATCGATTCCTCGATCGATCTGTCTTCTGGTTTTTAAACTCCTCAAAGCCAGCCTGCATCATCGTTCTCACTTTCTCGAACTTCGCATTTGATTCCTTCTGAAATCTGTCAATTTTCTTCTCTATCGAATCCATCCTCTTCTCCATTTCTGATGTACAAAACTCTTCCATCGCTCCAGGTAGGTTATATTCTCGATCGATTCAGATTCCTTTGCCCCCAGGAAATGAATTCTCAGATTCTCGTCTCCAGGAGTAACGTGCTCTGATACCAATGATAGGAACCCCAAGAATCCAGAACAATTATACAGAAAGATTAACAATGAAACAATCTGAAAATCTTTATTGAAGAGGAAGATCGATTACAGAAAGAGAAAAGTAACAAGGCCGAAGCCTCCCAAAAGAGAAGAGAACGTGAGTCTCTAATCTTCCCAGTTCCCAAACCTAATGTCCAAAAAGCCTCCTTACTACTCCCCCTTCCCATCTATTTATACTAGAGACCCTTATTACTAATATTATTATTATTATTACTTCTAATATTATTCTAATAGGTAGGTCCCTATCACTAACCAAATTTCTGGTTAACCGCTAATAGGTTAACCTAAAAACCGGAAATAAACAAAATAAAACCTGCCAACCTCAATCGTTCCAGACTCTAGAGAATCCAAACTTTCAGTTGCAGAGGTGCTTTACTCATTTAGGCCTTTGGCCTTCAGCCGTTTAACTCATTAATTGGTCAATTTTACACAACTACTGAACTACAGAATCACGGAGTAAGAAGAGAAGTGGAGAAGAAGGCTGATAGGCGGTGGCGTGGTTCCGTGCTCATTGATAGGCGGCGGCGCGGCGGTGAATCAATGGTCGGTACTCAATTACTCATCTAATGGATTCCAGAAGAAATGATCTCCAGTAGAAGGTGAAAGCTCAGAAGGCGGTTGGTTGAACACTGGAGACGGAAATTGGAATTTTGGAATTGCGGCAACTGCCTCCGAGTCCTTGCCTGCCACTTTCCCTCAATTGAAGCTTTTCCGATTCCAATAATCCGTACATAGTCGATAGGGAGGCAGTCGGAGTCCGGAAAGAAGAAGAAGAGATCGGCAGGTTGCAGCTCGTGGAAAGGAAACACTGCTGGGATCGGTAGTCTGGGTTGAGGCATGTCGACTGCTACGGTTGGTGACTTTTGAACGGTTAACCGATGGAATATGATTCCAAAGTGGTAATCCGACCATCAAACCTTTTATTCATTTCATCGGTTAACTGTATCGATAATAATTAAAAAGTCGGTGTGGTTAACCGAAAAAATAACGTTTTTTTGGTTATTTCATGCGGTTACCTGGTTATGGTTTTTTTATGCCCACGCCTACCTAGAAGGGTTTTAATATCGTTACATTTCATTTTATTAAAACTACTTTCAGTAGTGCCACTATAGCGTGCACAATTACTGCTATAGCAACCTCTATGGATGTTTTCAATTGGACTGAAATTTGCTGGTCTGGTATGTTCTTTTGTCTTTTTAAGTCTGGTCTGAATTGGTCTGGTTTGGTAAACGTCTAGTCTCTATGTATTTTTTAACTATGAAAGTCTGATCTGATTTGGTCTGGTTTGGATTGAAAACAGTCCAAGTAAAAATATCCTATTTCCGCAATAGTGTGACGCTCTCTCTCTGCTACAGAGAGTTTTGAAGAGAGTTTTGAAGTGCCTGGCTCCCAACCCCCTGCCACTATAGCGCCGCAAGATTTAGCTTAGAGTGAGTCCAAAAGATATCACAACTAAAAATACATCTCTGGTCTTCCCTTCAAAAGGAAACATAATAAACAAGTTAATAAGTCCATAGTAACAATAATTGATAAATATGAACTAAATAATAAAACATAGAACTTAAGTGATATTTGCTATGGCAAGGTGGAATGGTGCACCATAACCTCTATTTTCACTTTGACTATCATCTTGCAAAGTTACTTGGTAGAAGACATAATAATAAAATCCACCATTTATTTGCTTATGATAAGGATTTTGATTAGTCATTGGTGTTGTTAGTATGATGAGGCTTCACTTGCATGTGGGTCATATGTGTTGAAATGAGGATATTAATTATAAGGTAAACAAGATGATGGGTTTGTGGATAGCCCACCACGATACATATTAAATATATTCATTTAAGGAGAGACGGTAATATGTTATGTTGCTATTATTTATGTTGCTAATATTTAGATTTTTTGTTCTATTTATGAAATGGTGCATGTTTGTCATTGCTTTTTAATGAGATGCATAAAAAAGAGGGCACTTGTTTTTTCAAACATAAAAAAGAAGACACTAATTTTGACTAGAGAAAATGACAACTTTTACATGGACAACGAGACAACCAGATTTATAAAAATAAATAAATAAAAATAAAAATAAAAGAGAGAGATGGAAACAATCTTGCAGCCTGATGTGGTAACATTGAGTGTGTAATAGGTGATTTGAATTCATGCGGCTATTGCATCCTGATGTAGTTATGTATTGTGGTGTGCAATTTTAAACCATGGCAATACATATTTTAATTCTCATTTACACACATCACATATGGTCCATGACCTTTTTTTAGACTAATCACAAGCCTATAATCACATAGGATTAGTGAGCCATTTTTTCAAAGAAGTAAAATTTTATTTCACCCCTTTAATACTCTAAACCACTTCTAAGTACAATGAAGTGAATTTGGCTTTCTTTTGATTCATTGATTGTGCTCGAACTCATGTGCCTTGTTGAAATTTATCTGACCCCACACACAAGACGGTGAATTAACATAATTTTCTCGTATAAGGGACTACGGGTGTTGTTTGTTGCGAAAACAAAAAAACTGATGTTCTTTCATTCATAACGCAGGAAGGCAAGCCCCTTGTTCTTAACGTGGTGAGACGGGCTGAGGAAATGCTTGTAAACGATCGGTGAAATTCTAAAATATATCCTCTCCTGTTCAGTTGTTACATGAAATATTGGTCTATGTTAAGATTGATAGCTAAATAACTACAGTACAGGTCTCGTGTCAAAGAATATCTACCCATTACTGGACTGCCAGATTTTAACAAACTGAGTGCAAAGCTAATATTTGGAGCTGATAGGTATTGAGAATTGTTTGTATTTGCTTGCATTTTAATATTGTATCATCCAAAGAAAGCACATTTAATTCCTTGTGCAAAACACACATATGAAATACAATATGTTTCATTCTTTCCCGTTTTGAAGTTTGACTCCAGACTTGAATATGTCATGTCATGTGTACCTTACATGTAGCTGACCCCAAAATCTTTTGGGATTAAGGCTTGGATGTTGTTGTTGTTGTGTACCTTACATGTGATAATTTCAGTGAATCTCTGCTATGCTATAAAAAGTAGAAAGTGTTAGGCAATGAGATTAGGAAGAGTTCTTTTGATAATGTTAGTGTAATACAAGTACAGTTCAGAATAGGTGATTTCTATTGTTGGATAGCATTTAGTGTCCCTTTGAAACTTTGAATATACTAGGGAAAGAAAATATTGTGCAAAACGAACAGGGGAACTGGAAGGGAAGAAATAATAAGAAAGATAAAATATCGGCTCAAGCTCTATTAATTTATTTTACATATTCATATTAGTTCGAAGTATTTATTTGCAAGATAAAATGAACGTAAGAAAACAACTTTATTTTGCTTTTTCCTCTTTCCCTTGCATATTCCAGGATCCAAACATACTCTTACTGATTCAGTTCTTTGAGACACTGTTGAGATATTGTGTGGTGGTTGACTGGTAGCATATTAAGTCTTTTTCAAATTCTATTTATCTGCCTTCTACCTTATAATTTATTCCTTAATCTACTTTTGGACAGCAATGCCATTCTAGAGAATAGGGTGACTACAGTCCAATGCTTGTCTGGAACTGGTTCATTGAGGGTTGGTGCAGAGTTTTTGGCTAAGCATTATGATCAGGTATGCATATATATTGGGTTCTTTCATAAGCCTAAATTTAGTAATGACTCAAATATTCTACTCAATTGGGGACTTTTTTCTTTGCAGCATAGTATATGTATTCCACTGCCAACATGGGGAAATCATCCAAAGGTTTTCACATTAGCTGGATTGTCCGTAAAAACCTACCGCTACTATGACCCACAAACTCGGGGATTGGATTTTCAGGGTATTAACCTTTTCAACCTGTACTTTACTCCTGTTTGGTTAAACTGATCATTTTGTATTTTCACAGCCAAGAGGGATTTTGTATACACTAATGAATAATTATTTCTTAAGGTGCATATATGGATTGTTGACTGAAAACAAGCTAACAAGTGTTAGTACAAGGCATAATCTATAGTGTTGTTACCCCATACATATAGAAAGCTGATTACTTTATCTACAATCTCAATAATGTAACTACCACATTGCATTATTCTTATGTTCATTTATACAAATTGAGTTAATTGTATCCTGGGTCCAAGAAGTTTCTGCCAGATTTAAAATTGCCCTAAATTTTCTATAAGGTTGGTTTCAGTGAGTTCCAACTTACACTTCTAAAAGGAATTCGATATCTGCTACCATTGGTCTTGACTCTTGACTTGCCTGGAGTAAACCAAAGCTTAGGTTAAACATTTGATTAAAATATTTAAACTACAAACATACTCTTTTATTGCTCAGCTCTTACAACAATTGCATTTTGATTCATGTATATCATTCTTTGTGTGTTTCAACCTTACCAAAATGTCATTATAAGAAAATTCCTTCTTTTATCAAACATGGTCATAAGGTTTTCGCACCTAGAGCCACAATTTTTAAATTACTAATGCTTTTCTGACATGTTAAGACCCGAAGTTATATCCTAAAAGGTCAACCTGATAGGGGGAGTAGCCCAAAGTCTTATATAGTGATAATGTTTTATTATTTTATAGCTTTCCGGTGTGGGACAAATACTTCAACACGCCCTCTCAGCCCGAACCGGGCTGGACAATATTGGGGTGTATAAATGAGCCAAACAGACCCTTAACAAGCTACCCGTAATCATGGGTGCTAAACAAGCAGTCAAACCACAACCGGAATTGGCTTTGATAGGGGGAGTAGCCTAAGGATGGCAATGGGGGCGGGGACCTGTGGGGAACCACCCCGCGGGGGAAGGATGGGGCGGGGTTTGGGGCGGGGGCGGGGGCGGGGGCGGATGAAATATTTCTACCCCGCTAAAATATGGGGCGGGGATGGGGATTACTACACCCGCCCCGCCCCTGCCCCGTACCCGTTATTAATATATGCACAAACACACATAGGAAAAAGGGTCAAATACACCCGTCTACTATCTTGAAAAGATCATCTAAGCCCCTATACTAAAAAATGCATCACATTGGTGCATTTACTAATGAAAAACGGTCATATAAACCAAATGACCTGCTGTAGCAAGTTAGAGGCATTTTAGCTTTACCTTTTCTATTTTCTTTTTTCTTCTATGAAGCAGTGAAGCTTCCAGCCGCAGTTTCTTTATTGATTTCCGTTTTCTCCTTTAACATTCTTCTTTCTCAATTTGGACCGACCTTCTAGCTACAATCATTTCTGATTTTTTTTCCCATTTTCTTCATCCTTTTTTTTTCGTTATTAACAATTCAATTCTTCATCCTATTATTCCAACAATTTCTATTTAAGTTTTTTTCTTCTTCATTTTCCCCTCATTTCCTTTTTTATTTGTTCTTCTCCCAAGAAATAGTTTCTTACACTCCTTCCTAATTATTTCAATAAGAATGTTTTTACTTGAATTTATTTTAATCTTAGACCAGAACAAGTTTGATAGTTTTAAAATACACATAAAGCAGATATTAATCAGACTAGACTTAAATAGGTTATACCAAATCAAGTCAGAAAATTTCAATCCAATTAAAATATCATCCTAGACATAAATAAGCCTATTTTTATCAAAAATTCTATTATTTTTAGGAAAATCACACTTTTAATCTTTTACGTATTGCCCATAAGGAATGTAGTCTTACGGACCTTACCATAAAATTGAATTAAAAGTGTTACGTATTCGTAACTTCCACACAATTAGAGTTTTTTTGGGACATTCTTCTAAACCTATTATAGTATCTCCTCTAGTTAATGTCAACATTCTTGATTGGGATGAGACTCGAACCTGCGACCTCCTCTTTGGGAGATCAACAGTGATGCCATCAGACCACTAGGTACTTGGCTCCACACACTTTTTATATTCATTTTCAAAATTTTGTGCACCTACTCGTAAATAAAAATATGGATTGGTAAATTTTTGTGCACTTTTTGTGTCATAGATTTACTGTTTGTATAGTGGATTTTTTAGATTGATATTTTTTGTCTATTCCCAAAGTTAACAAAAAAAATCATATGTACAAAATTATTTGAAAATGTGTACAAAAGTATACAAATTTTTACCCTGTGTGAAACATTTTGTATGTATGTGAAATTAATTGTCCGTAAAATTGTTTTTCTTCAATCAACATTTTTTCCTGGTAGCCAAACATTACAACAACAAAAAATTGATGTACGTTTTTTTTGAAAATGTACACAAAAGTTACACAATTTTTTGACGTTGTTTGGAACTATTGTTTTTTTGTGCCACACATTTACTATTTCTAAAATTAGATTTTGCAACTGAATTTTAATCTGTGGTCTAGCTTCAAGTAGATGTCATCGTGAAAGCTTGAATATTATCTAAGTTTGATCCGGTTTACCTGACTTATTCAAATCTGGTGTACTCCTATTAGGGACTAAAAGCAGAAACAAAATTAAAAAAAGTAAAAAAACGTTAAAAGGGAAATAAAAAGTAAAAAAGAATAGGAAATTGAGATGACAGAATAAAGTTAATAACGAAGAAAAAAGTTTAGAGGAGAAAATACAAATTGTTGGATTGTTAGGATGAAAAGAAAAGGTAAATATAAGAAATGGGTGGAGTGAAAAAGAAGATAAATAAGAGAAAAAGGAAATAAAGAAACAAGAAGAATAGCAATGGCTAGAGACTGGAGCAGTGGAGTCTCGAACAAAAAGGAAAGAAAAAAAAGAAATTAAAAAACAAGCGGTTGGATCAATGGATGTGGTTCACAAAAGAAATAAGGAAATAGAAAAAAAAGGCTAAAATGTCTTAACTTGCTACAAGAGGTTACCATCCGGTCATTTGGTTTATATGACCATTTTTCATTAGTAAATGCACCAATGTGATGCATTTTTTAGTATAGGGGCTTAGATGATCTTTTCAAGATAGTAGACGGGTGTATTTGACCCTTTTTCCACATACATATATATACATACATATATTAATAATGGGTATAAACATATTTAATTAAATTATATTGTACTATTTAACAAACACATACACATACTTATAGACATGCATACATGTATGTGTATTAGTCATGATTAATGAACTAATCATTAGTATATTCTAATATACTACGTAAGTATTATATTAGAATAATAAGTAATGACTAAAAATATTTATCATAAATGATATATGAGTTTTAAAAGTGAGAAACTAAGTAAATAAAACACACACACACGTATGTATAATATATATATAATTAATTGTAGTATAATTGATGAGAAATTTGGAATGACATACATGATGTTAATATGTTTATTTATATTTTTAGTTTTATTATTTTCATATAACTTATTCAAATTGAAGAATTATTAAAAATTCGCGGTACCATCTTTTATCGAACTCAATATTATCTAGTTTAACTCTTTCAGTGCTATATATATATATATATTTATCTATAAAATGGATTAAAAAAAAATACACAAATAAGATAATTAAAATATATATGGGGGCACCCGTGGGGGACAGCGGGGGTGGGGCGGGGATGGGGCGGGTCTGGGAGTGACGGGGGATGGGGCGGGGATGGGGAGAACTTTTTAGACATGGGGCAGGGATGGGGGAGTGAACCCCCGCCCCGTTGTCATCCCTAGAGTAGCCCAAAGCCTTATATAGTGTTATTATTTTATAGCTTTCCGGTGTGGAACAAATACTTCAACATGACATTTATGCAGGAATGTTAGATGATCTCAGTGCTGCCCCAAAGGGAGCAATAGTCCTCCTCCATGCTTGTGCTCATAATCCTACTGGGGTAGACCCAACTGCTGGGCAATGGGAGAGCATCAGACAGTTGATACGATCCAAAGGGTTGTTACCTTTCTTTGACAGCGCTTATCAGGTAAGTACTACTGATGGGGTTATGTACATACAAGTTACCTTTATTTAAAATGCTTCAAAAAATGATCCCTTGACGATGTAGGGTTTTGCTAGTGGCAGTCTTGATACAGATGCACAAGCTGTTCGGCTTTTTGTTGCTGATGGAGGTGAATGTCTTGTGGCTCAGAGTTATGCAAAAAACATGGGACTGTATGGGGAACGTGTTGGTGCTCTTAGCATTGTAAGTAGATGCTGTTTTTCACGGGAAATGTTGGCCCAAAGTTATGTTAGCTAGATGATCACCGACAAGAAAAGATACCAAAAGAAAAGAAGCTTAAGAAATAAACTCAAGCTTATCGAATATGCTCTTCTCGATGAAACGTTGAAAAGCTTTATCTAAAAGAATCTACTCCCCTCTGTCATGCGGTGTCCTGAGGTGCTTGATACATGAGAGACCAGTCTTACTTAATACAGTGGCAAATAGTATTGCCCAGGCATGCTCTCATCACAGAACGGAGACAATTCCCGACCATGATGTCCCGTGATTTGCGTCATCTTCTTTGCTGTCAATTCCATGACGCTTCAGCTCTTTTAATTGTCAAGTCTATAGTTAACAAAAACCTCCCCGGATTAAACCAGGCTGGGAAGCCTAACTTGGTTGAGCCAAACCATCTAAGGCAGAAAGAAAACACATTAGTGCTATTGTCACTCCCACTATATCTGATGGCAAGGTTGCATCTGATCCATCACGACATATCGGTTTGTACACAATTTCACATGAAATTCTCCCCACTGGAAATATAGCACGCTCTCGTGTTATGTTGATGATTTAGCCCAAAGATCATCTTACTGTGCCATTACATCCCACTCAACACTCACTCAGACCTTGCTAGTGGCCACCCTAATCTGCCCCTTGCAGACTCAAGGGCAGGGCAGTCATTGGCGCATGCCTCCACTTGAAGCCCGCCTAGTTCTCCCCTTGAGAACCCCACTAAAGTGAGCAGCCATATGAGTAAGTCCCACTTTGATACAACTTGTCATGAGGATACAGTCCAGCGAATTTCACACCTTCCATGTGGCATCCTGAGATGTCCTTCACCCTCCATTGTCGCAAAGTCCATGACTAACAGCGATACAACTTGTCATGGGGATACAGACCATACGATTTTGTCCTTTAATGTGTTCCACCCTCCTTCATTGTCAAGTCCATGACTAACATCAATCTTTCCTGATTAAACCAGGTTGTCAAGTCTAACTAGGTTAGGTCAAAGCGGATAAGGCTGAACAATATCTGAATGCTATTGCCACTCTCATTGGTGATACGTTTCTCAGTTGGTCCATCACGACACATTGGTCTTTTCATGGTTACGAGAAATTCCGTGCGACTCTGCGTCCTTAAAAAGAGTCTGGATTCAACTATTCAATAACTTTGTTCATTCCGGAATGGAGTGTTTTGCTCAATTACTCACAGTAATCCTGGAAATTAGTTCTAGAGTTAATATTCTACAAGTGCTTCTTCGTAAGTTATTAAAGTTTGTACCTTACTCAGACATGGCTCTCTTTTTGGGACAGAGGGAGAAACAGCTGGCTTATATGGCATGCCAAACATAGTCTGTGTTATCCCAGAGAATCTTATGTTACTCTTGCTTGGGTTTTGTGATATTTAAGATGTGTGAGCTTTTAAGCATTTGTGACATTTATGTGGAAAAAGGGGATTGATATTATAGGAGCCTCTATTCTAGCTCACTTCCATGATTTTATTTACAGGTTTGCACAAACGGAGATGTGGCCAGCAGGGTTGAAAGCCAATTAAAGCTAGTCATCAGGCCTATGTACTCAAACCCGCCTATTCATGGTGTATCCATTGTTGCTACCATACTCAAGGACAGGTACTTAAAATTGTTTCTGTGATTTTCATCAATGTCGATATCTTCTTTCTTTCGCTGGATGGGACTGAGGGATCTGTGATTATTTGTTTCAGACAATTGTTTGAGGAATGGACCCGTGAACTTAAAGCAATGGCTGATCGAATAATCAGCATGCGTCAGCAACTCTTTGCTGCTTTACAAGCTAAAGGTACCCTACTTACCTATCATTAACATTATAGTTTGGTTGAATCTTTTTTTTTTTTGCATGCTTCTATTACATTTATTCCTAATGCCTGTATTTAGCAGGCAATACTACTGATAAAGCTAGGGCAGTCATTTTAGGATACAAAGTCTATCTATGAACTGCTATTTTTATTTAATTTTGTGAATGCATTTTTGTTTTTGTTTTTTTGCAGGCACACCAGGTGACTGGAGCCATATTATCAAACAAATTGGAATGTTTACTTTCACAGGATTAAATGCTGATCAAGTTGCATTTATGACCAAAGAGTTTCACATCTACATGACTTCGGATGGGTAAGGATCAGATCGTCCTGCTTATGGCAGCGTAATCATTAATTGTTATTATAGCTATTTGCTACTCTGTCTTGATATCAAAGGTCAAATCTGCAGTCGACTTCATTGATAGCAAGTTGCATTCATATTCATATTTCGGTTCATGTCATGTGATGTGATTAAGTAATACTGTTGGCCGTTACGCGCCTACCACAACACTCTCCTCCTTTATCCTGGCTTGGGACAGACATGGTATAAAAAATGATCTAATGGCGGAGTTTTTGATAGCATGTTGCATATGAAAAGAAATGTATGTGCTTGTCTTGAATAACTGGCCGTGTTAAAAAAAGCGCTAAGCGGGATTGAGGTCTAGTGTGTAGGTGAGGATCAATTAGAGTTGACTGGGATCCAAGTGGAACTAGGAGGGAAGTTGACCAGGATCTAAGTGGAATATGATGGGGATTTGACTGGGAATCTAAGTGGAATTTAGCTGTACTTGAGCAGGTAAAATGTATAGGTGATCCAAGAGAGTTCGCCAGTGCTTAAGAGGGGTATTGATTGGAGTTAACATGGATCGAAGGAGAATTAGGTTGGACTCAAGTGGGGGAAAATATAGGCTGATCAAAGAGTGAAGTGCTTAGAGCCTCGGACGGGGATTTACAGGAGACCCTGGATTTAAGTAGAACTAGCTTAATAGTAGAACAAGGTGACCAAAGAGAGTTTAGCGTTGAGTCTGGAAATTTATAAAAACTGTTATTGGACTAATTTCCGTGAAGTTGTTTGCTCCTTCCCCAGTCCCCCGGATCCACATTTCGTAGTGCAGTGCAAGTTCGTAGATCACGGTAGCTATTGTTTCTTTTCATTTTGCAGGAGAATTAGCATGGCCGGCCTCAGTTCTCAAAAAGTTCCTCATCTTGCTGATGCAATACATGCGGCCGTTGCCAAATCAACCTAAACCAGAAGCTTACGTGCAAGAAGTGTTTTGTTTTGTGCTTGGCTTTTTCCATGTATTCTCTGGCTGTTACTTGCGGATGCAGAAGTTAATAAAGAAATCAAACCAATCAATATATATATATATATATATATATATATATATATATAGGAGGAACTTTTTAAGAGCTTACAAAGCGTCATATAATCCTGCCATGTCATTATATATAACAATTATTTAGTTATTTTTATACCTTTTATTTTTATTAGATTCTATTATTGATTGCATGTTAATATGGAAACAAAAGATCGTAGGTATCCACCTTATTTAATTGAGAATATTACCCGAATAGGAGTAAAAATGTTTGAAAATTCCAAAATAGGACTGTCATATTTTTATTACCAAAGTAGGACTAATTACTGCTAGAGCTGGACTCGGGCTGGGCGGCCCGCCCCGGAACCGCCCCGGCCCGGTTACTGTTTGAACCGGCCCGGCCCGGGAACCGGTCGGGGGGCGGTTCGGGTCGACCCGGCCCGGCCCGGTAGACAAGCGGTTTGGGCTCGAGCCTTCAAATGTCGAACCGGCCCGGCCGGGCCGGGCCCGGTTCGGGCCTAAAGGCTATTATTGAAAATATTTTTTTTTGTTTTCCAATTGTGTAAACTCTATAGCCGTTGGAAGGCCACCCAAACGGCTCTATAGCCGTTGGAGGGGGTGGGAGGGGGGGGGGGGGGTTGGAGGGGGTGGGAGGGGGGGGGGGGTCCAGGGGTTTTGGGGGTGGGGATAAAAAAAAACTATTTATACTCATATTTTCTATACATTTTTTACACCTCTTCTCCAACTCTTCATACTCTCTAATTCTCTATTCCCTCATACTCTTAAATCTTAATCATCTCCATCTTCATCTTCTCCAAATCTCTCTACATATATATATTATATATATTATTTATATAATTATTATATCTACTTATATACTAATTATGTACTTATATATACATATATTACATTACTAATATTTAGTATCTACTTGATATATATTTATTATCTTCTTAATATTTACTTTGATATCTACTTATCATCTATACTTATTGTTATTTACTTATATATTAAATTATTAATTATCTACTTTACATACATACATTATATTACTTATATTTCTTATCTACTTAATCTCTACCTATTATCTACTTATATACTTGTATATTAAAGTATTATTATAAGTGTATTACTCATCTTATAGTAATATACTTATATATTATATACTATAAACATTATATTATATATTACTAATATTTATTATCTACTTAATATATATACTTATTATTTACTTATACATCTCTATCTTCATCTTCTCCAAACCTCTCTACATATATATATATATATATATATATATATATATATATTATTTATATAATTATTATATCTACTTATATATTTATTATCTACTTAATATATATATATACTTATTATCTACTTATACATCTCCATCTTTTTAATATTTACTTTATTATCTATATTTATTGTTATTTACTTATATATATTAAAGTATTATATATAAGTGTATTACTCATCTTATAGTAATATATTTATATATTACATACTATAAACATTATATTATATATTAGTTATACAATTATATTAGTTACACTTGAATTCATAGTAATTAAATTCATCGCATTAGTTAATTTTTACATTTCTCATTATCCTAATTTAGTTAATTAATTACATTTTTCATTAAAGCATAAAAATAGTTAATTGTTACATTTTTCATTAAAGTATAAAACTAGTTAATTGTTACATTTTTCATTAAAGCATAAAACTAGTTAATTGTTACTTTTTTCATTAAAGCATAAAACTAGTTAATTGTTACATTTTTCATTAAAGTATAAAACTAGTTAATTGTAACATTTTTCATTAAAGATGGACCGTGGCAGACATTCCATAGATATGGGTAATCTCCAACGCAACCGAAGGAAGGAGATTGCGACAAGTCATCCTAGTTTACGCAAAGGCAAAGGTAAAGGGCGGGCCGGGTCTTCTTCTCAAAGTCGAGAAGATTTTGATGACGGATACCAAAGGCGAGATGGGGATGCGATGTCCGACGAGCAACTACAACAACTATTGGGGCAAAATAATGGTCGCTTTTTCCAACAACAAAACATCCCGGAGTCCATTGATGAAGAGGATCTCGAGGATGACGATGCGGAGGAGGACGAGGGGGGCGACGGGACTCACGGCACCCCGGATGATGAGCAAAAGTTGGAGGACGAGGGCGGTCCATCCCAAGTTGGTAAGAAATCTAAATCTCCTATTACAGAAAATAATTTTACAAAGAGGAAAGACACAAAAATCGATAAATGGTACGCAAGTTGCGATCATTGCAAGAAGGATTATAGCTTGGGAACTTCCGGCGGATACGGGAGCCTCAAAAGGCATCTTAAGTCCGTGCAATCTGTGGAGTATGCGAGAAAAGACAAAGGCAAGGGGAATCAAACTCAAATATCGAGGTTTGCAAATGACCAACCTTTTGGCAATTTCTCACACACTGATGCACAAAATTTGACTGGTATGGCTAACTTACTTGTTGAAGAAAATTTGCCTTATTTGTTTTCTGAAAGTCTTGCCTTTAAAGATTATGCACAAACTTGTTTAAATCCTCAATTTAGAAGTTATAGTCGCAAAACGGTTAAGAAAGAAATTATAAGGCCTTATCGTGCGGAAAAGGATAGGTTACAAATTTTTTTTGCAAACTTTGATGGCCGTGTAACTATTTGTTCTGACATTTGGGAGGATACTTATCATAATTTACATTATTTGGGCCTGACTGCACATTTTATTGATAGTGATTGGAATTTGCATAAACGTGTTCTTGCTTTTCGTGAATTTAATGATCGTCACACCGCTGAACATATTTATATTTTGATTGAACGTATTTTAACTGAGTATAATTTGATTGATAAGGTGTTTGCTATAGGTTTTGATAATGCTACTAATAATATTGCTGCTATACCTAGATTGCGTGAATTGTGTGGTTCTAATACTTTGATGGGTAGATTTTTTTCATCAACGATGTGCATGCCATATTATAAATTTATGTGTGCAAGACGGTCTAAAAGCGTTAGGAGATGCTATGGAGGTAGTCAAGGGGGGGATTAGACGTATTTTGGGCAATGGTCAACTTAAATTAAAATGACAAAATTATTTGATTGAAAGATGTGTGAAATATGTTACTTTTCCTAAAGATCTGTCTATTCGGTGGAATAGTACTTATAAATTAATTAAAGTTCTTCTTAGATATAAAGAACATTTTCCTGCTTTTTTTAAGACAATATGATAACTATATTTTAAACTCCGCTCACATCGACATTTGCGAAAAAATTTGTAATGTTTTGATATATTTTAATAATGCAACTGAAAGTTTTAGTCATGTTTATAAATCTACCTCAAACGAATTTATTCGTGAAGTTGTTAATCTCGCCGGTGCTTTTAATGAATTTGAGAATGCCGCTTACGTGAGTTATTTTTGTGGGTTTATGAAGGAAAAGTTTTTAAAATATTATGCACATATTCCGTATATTTATAGTATTGCATTTATTCTCGATCCTCGTTATAGACTTGGTAATTTGGAAGAATGTTTGAAGTTCTATTATAATGCTTTTTTTGGTCCATTTCCAATGTATGACGATAACACCATAGATCCACAAGTTGAATACAACGAGGCTAGTAATTTATTTTATGCCTTATTTAATGAGTTTCGTGCACAATATGGCAACGCGCCCCCTCCCCCGACACACACATCTTCATCTAAAGGAAAATCACTTTTTAAATCTGCTTTTGACAATCTTATGAAAAAACCTAAAACAACTCACACTACTGAACAAAGCGCACTTAATGAGATTTCTTTGTATATAAATTATGAGGTAGAATTTGATGAAAATGAGGAGTTTGACTTTCTAAAGTGGTGGAAGTCAAAAGAAAGAATGTTCCCGATTTTGGCACGGATGACTAAGCAAGTGCTATCAATGCCGGTTTCAACAGTTGCCGTGGAACAAGAATTTAGTTCGGCCGGCAACGTTCTAACGGCATCTAGAACGAGTTTGAGCGCTGAGTCTCTTGAGACGCTTATATGCTACCATGATTGGTTGAAGGTCATACGTAGATGTCAAGAAATTAGCATCACCCCCTCCCAACACTTTATGGATGAATCAACAACCGAGGGTGGCTCCTATGCCGGAGATTCCTATTGATTAGTATTTTACAATTTATTATAAAATGTATTTCATGTTTTAATTTTTCCTTCAATTCTCTATTGTAATTTGTAAAGTTGTAGTTCATATTTCAAATAAATATACATTCTTTTTTTTTATATGTAGCACTTATCAAATTAATTAATTAATTAATGGGTTACAAACTTACAACTTACAACTTAGAATTTATTGTATTAGTATTTTTTGAAAAATGTATTTCATATTTAAGTTGTATTAATAAGTAATATATATATATATATATATATATATATATATATATATATATATATTTATATATATATAACCTGGGCCCGACCCGGCGGGTGGCCCGGCCCGAACCGGCACCGGGCGAAGGACGGGCCGGTTTCGGGCCCCCCATTCCAGGACCGGAGGCCCGGGCCTGAACCGGCCCGAGTCCAGGCCTAATTACAGCCATGTTTTGACAGTGTTTCAAACATGACAGTATTTTCCAAACTTGGTAGTAATTACTCGTATTTTGGGAATAAAAATATGATAGTCGTATTTTGGAATTTTAGAGCTTTTTTAGTCCTATTTCGGGAACTTTTCAAAATCTTTTACATATTTGAGAAGTATTAAATTTAGTAATTGGAACCACAACCATTAATAACCAAATTTTAAGCACTGGCTCACGCAGTAACAATCATTAATTATTTTTTATACTTTTTATTTTTTACTACGTATTACTCTGTACATTCTATTGAAGAAGTGAAGTATCCATTTTTTGCCCACTTAATAGATAAATCAGCATAATTGCAATTAAATTTTTCTTCAAATTTATTTGATAAAAAAACGTGTCCCGTTTTCTAAAATGTAATATTTTATTTTTCTAAATTCAATGTTAAGATAATGATAAAAATTCTCTTTTTTAAAGAGATAATGATTAAAATTCTAAGCCCCAAAAACAATTATGTTAATACTTCACATTTTTCTGCATCCTTGTACAATTTTTTATTATTATTACGGAGTAACATAATGATGAAAACTATAACCACCATATTGTTGAAATTAAAAACGAAATTAATACTATTAGATATTCAAATATAGAATCTCTTTAAAATAATACTTCTAAT